AAGACAATATTGTTTTGTTAATATTACGTTTTTATTTTTGATTTTCCATTTTTTATAACAGTTAACATTTTTAAGTAATTTGTAAAATGTTAATATTTATTTTGTTAGCTAAGTTATATATGGAATATTAATTTCGTTTTTAATATAATTTGGAAACAATGACATTTTATAAAAATAATAAACTAATATAATGATGTGTTATTATACGATTGGAGGACTTAAATCCTACGTGGACGTCCTCAATGGCTTATAGCCTCAACTTTTATATAGTATAGATATATATGCATGCTGTCTGCTGATGTGTCTACATTACATATGTATATAAACTGCAGAAAGAAAATAATATGAATCTAATCAGTGAAAGTAACCCTTACGTTGTCCACGTCTCGTAGGCTGTTTTCCTCTACGTGGCACATAACATGTTGCTCATGTGTCCACCTCACAAGCTGTAGTTTTATCTCAATGAACTAACTTATACAGAAAACAACTATATCTTGTCAATTATGATTCCAATAAAAGATTCACATCGCCATAAAAAATGGGAGGATACTATCGATCCGGTTTATACTCGTCTTATAAAACCGGTAAATAGTTGATTTTCTACTGAAATATGAGTTTCAGCACGTCATTTAAAATCAATCTTATGACCTGAAACTTGCTGAAAATAGAAACTCGTTTTTTTGGCTGTGGATGTTTTCTTTAAATCCAAATAACATAGGATTCTTACTTCAATGTATAGTTGAACTTAACGACACCATCATGTTGGCTTCGAATTTAAAGCTTTACCGACTTGCAGTGTCTAGATCACATGATCAGATGATATTAAGGTCTGATATAGTTTTATATATGATAATTGATTGACGATTAAGATCACAGAAGGAGTAGAATTTGATGGAATATTGATATCTATCGAGTCGTACCTAATTTTATGGAACCTCTAGTAAAAATTTAAAATTTATTTTAAATTTTAAGAATTTAATATTATTGGTCGTCATGAAAATGACTATCCTATGTCAATTTTTAGTCACAGAAACAATATTGTATAAAGATATTCTCCACACAAGGAAAAGGGGTCATTAATTAGTGCCATTTTCTTAACACGCATTTGGTGCCGTTTCGGTTTAGGAACAACGAAGTCGTATGCAAGAATATGACAATATTCAATGCCTTTTAAGAACAATTAAGTCGTAATCGTATACAAGACTACGACAGTCCATTAAAGATAATTTTACACTACATAACTTTGAAAATCATACCAACAAATCTCACGAAAGCACACCATAACCTAAAAGTTTATAGTTATAAAGTTTGATTGGTAAATCAACTAAACGATTTTTTTTTCCAAACAAAACATTTAGAACTCATATCATAAGTAGTTTTAGAAAAAAGAATTTGTTTTACAATATAAGTAATTTTAACATTCCAATGCAAATTTATTTTTAAGAAATATTATACAACCAAATAAGTTATATAGGCATTTTCTAATTGGTTAAAATTATATATTCAAAAAAAATTTAAGCAAATAATTATTTTTTTAATATTAGTGCGTTTAACTAAAACTACTTATAATTTGAAAAAGAGAGGTTACTAGTTACTACTCATGTCAAACTACTTATTATTCTCATCTGTCAAAAAATTATTTGAATCATGACACCATACAAACTTAAACATTTTAGTTTAATTAAAACCATTATTTTATGTTTTTTATAGTTAGCATTATTATATTACAAGAAAGAAAATCTCGTGGGAAGTGACCAGAGTAAAACTAAACACGAAGTAAGAGGGAAACAGATGCCAAACTATAGTGGCATCTCCTCTGCTCTCTCCTTATCTCTTAAACCCACACACTTACAGTATTCACTTCTCTCATTGGACCTCTTTCTTTCACTCTCGTGTTTATATATTCTTCTTCTCAGAATCTCCTTTCTTTCCACAAATTTTCTGTAACCATCTCTCAAATTAAAAAGACCAATCCTTTAATTATTTTCCTTTTTATAAATACTCAAATTAAAAACCTTACCTACCCTTGAAGTAAAGTAAAACCCCCTCTCTTTCTTATATCCACAAAACCTCATTTTTCTCATAAAACTTTCATCAGTCTCTCATATCACTAAACACAAGGAAAGATGAAGAGAGGACATGAAGAAACATGGGACCCAACACCACACCCACAACCACCTTCTGGTTCGTGTGAAGGTTCTTCAATGACGGATAACATCATCAACGGTAAGATGGCTGACGACAACAACAACATGGATGAGCTTCTTGAAGTTCTTGGCTACAAGGTTCGGTCTTCAGAAATGGCTGAAGTAGCGCAGAAACTCGAGCAGCTTGAGATGGTTTTGTCTAACGATGACGTTGGCTCCACTCTCTTAAACGACACCGTTCACTATAACCCCTCTGATCTATCCAACTGGGTCGAGACCATGCTCTCAGAACTCAACAACCCGGAATCCTCGGATCTCGACCCGACCCGGATTTGCTCGGACAGATCCGAGTACGGCCTCAGCGCCATTCCTGGTCTCTCCGCGTTTCCGAGTGGTGAAGAGGAAGAAGCCAGCAGCAAAAGGATCCGACTCGAATCAGTCGGATCCTGGACCGACCCGGCGTTGACTCGCTCCGTACTAGTCGTTGACTCTCAGGAGACGGGAGTGAGACTAGTCCACGCGCTAGTAGCCTGCGCGGAAGCGATTCAGGAACGAGATCTCATCTTAGCCGACGCGCTGGTCAAAAGCGTGGGTACACTCGCGGCTTCCCAAGCTGGAGCCATGGGGAAAGTCGCTACTTACTTCGCGCAAGGCTTGGCGCGTAGAATTTACACGAACGACGTCGTCTCATCAACGGTGGGCCCCTCTCTCGAAGAGGCTTTACAGATGCACTTCTACGAGTCTTGTCCGTACTTAAAGTTCGCTCACTTCACCGCGAACCAAGCTATCTTAGAAGCTGTGACCACGGCGCGTAGAGTCCACGTCATCGATCTTGGACTTAACCAAGGGATGCAATGGCCGGCGTTGATGCAGGCCTTGGCGGTTAGACCCGGCGGACCTCCGTCGTTTCGTCTCACCGGAATAGGACCGCCGCAGAGAGAGAGTTCGGATTCGCTTCAGCAGTTAGGTTGGAAGTTAGCTCAGTTCGCTCAGGCGGTAGGTGTTGAGTTCGAGTTCAAGGGTTTAGCTGCTGAGAGTTTATCGGATCTTGAACCGGAAATGTTCGAGACCCGACCCGAATCAGAGACTTTAGTTGTTAACTCGGTTTTTGAGCTACATAGAGTTCTAAACCGAACCGGTTCGATAGAGAAGCTTTTAACCACGGTAAAGGCTGTGAAACCGAGTATTATTACTATGGTGGAGCAAGAAGCGAACCACAACGGCGTCGTTTTTCTCGACAGGTTTAACGAAGCGCTTCACTACTACTCGAGCTTGTTCGACTCGTTGGAAGACAGTTATAGCTTACCGAGTCAAGACCGAGTTATGTCGGAGGTTTACTTAGGGAGACAGATAGTTAACGTAGTGTCTGCGGAAGGAACTGATCGGGTGGAGAGGCACGAGACGCTGGCGCAGTGGAAAGTCCGGATGGGATCCGTCGGGTTTGACCCGGTGCCTCTTGGATCCAGCGCGTTTAAACAAGCGAGCATGTTGTTATCGGTTTTCGCCGGAGGAGATGGGTATAGAGTTGAAGAAAACGATGGGTGTTTGATGCTTGGGTGGCAGACGAGACCACTTATTGCCACGTCAGCGTGGAAACTCGCTGAGTCACCACGGGAGTAACCGGGAAAAAAATGAAAGTTGAATAAATGTTTTAAAATAGGGACCGTAACTTTTAGCTATGTTTTTTTTTTTACTGTTTAACCCGGACTTTGTGTGGTTTTTTAACCGTTTTGCCTAAATGTTTACATCTTTTTATCGTTTTGGACCTTGTGCGTTATCGTAGAAAGTGGAGAGAACGAGTAAAAATCTTGTATCGTAGCTCGAGCTAGCAGTTCTTCTTTTTCAAAGTTTCTTCAATAAATGGAAGGATAACGTTCTATATGTTTTATAATTTCACCCAATGTATATGAATAGTGATATTAGAATATCATTTTGTATGATATGTTTCAGTATTTGGACTGTTTCGTTTTTGATAACATGGGTGGTGGAAGTGAACGTGAGCGTTTCTGAAAAGGCGGATCCAAAACGTACTTTCAGTTTCGAGGACTGATGTCAGCCCTTTTTGTTACAAGATTTTCTTATCAAAAATATTTTTTTGGTACAGTTTTGTTTTCAAACATTAAAAGAACAGACAGATTGTTCTGTTCTCTCTCTTTAGTATGGGGTTTGATGAGGTAATATAGATGTCAAGTTGATCTTCACGTACGTATTCAAGTTTTGAAAGAATATGGGGTGAAAATTATTATACTTTTATCCGATCATCATAAGCCTCAAATTTGAATGGGCTTCTACAAAAGACTAGTTGGATCTAAAGTTGGATGATTACATTCTTAAACGTGATACATGTGATTTTAAATCAAAAAATGAAGGCTTGACGTTGATGTCCAAACACTAATGGCACAACAACATGATTGAAACTTTTTTAAAAGGTAAAAAAACGTTTGTATAGAAATGTATATATGTACACACCAATGACATTTCAACTTACAATAAGCTTTTATTATGAACACTGTTGAGTAAGAAAGAAACCTGTCACTGAGAACCAGAACGTTGGCACTGGACTGGCATGTATTATGTTCTTCAATCTTCACACACTTATGCAGAATCTGTCTTTTTTTTTCTTTCTTATACATGTAAGAAACCTCGGGGAAATGCGGTCTTAGGGACGGACAAGAGTGGAAGCACGTTCTTGTAGATGTCTCAAGCTCTTCTCCATGCTAACTTGTACCATCTCAGCTAGCATCTTCTTCGCTTTACCGGATTGGTCATCTCCGTCTATATGAGAGATTAAGCTCGACACTATGTTCTCAATTGTATCTGGCTGAACCTCTGATCTTGGACTTTTTGAGTTCCTTAGTAAAGAGAGAAGTCTTTGTGCTTTAGTCCGAGACTTTGATGTACCTTGAACCGTGAGCTCAAGCAGTCCCGGTATTACACCTTCTCTGAGAATTGGCTCTCTGTATTTACTTCTATCGCTTTGGCACAGTGTTAGGAGTACACCAACAGCGTGTTCTCTAGCTTGTAGTGACCCATTTTCAAGAACTTCCACCACCGCAAAAACTCCTCCTTCGTCCGAAACTAAACCGGTTCTCGCCTCCTCGCCGGAAGCCATCAATGATTCTATGAGGGAACAGCATTTCTCAGATGTTTTCGACGATTTTTTACTTGATTTGAGAAGACTCAGAATCGGTAAGAGTGGTTTGGTCGCTAGGATCATGCTCAGGTTAGTGGGGAGTGTAGAGAGGTTGGAAAGTGCCATGACTGCATCAACTTTAGCTTGTGGGCTTCCATGTTTAATGACTTTGACTAATAGAGGAATCACTCCATTAGCTCCAATGATGGGTTTGTTGGTAGCGGAGGCGGAGAGAGTGAGCAAAGATGCAGAAGCATATTCTTGCAGTGTTGAGCTATTAGATTGCAAGAAGTTGATGATTGGCTCTAAAGCACCAGCTTCAATAATGCTCACCTTATTCCTGAAATTTGAAAAACCAACAGCAAAGCTCAGAATAGTCTCCCATGGAATCTTCTTAAACACAATGACAACTTAACATTTTCCTCCAAGACTTTCAATGCATTCAGTTTCAGTCATATGAATTGTAATCAAGGGAACCATCTACCTAACCTCTTAGGAAAACCAAGCCGACCTAAAGGTACGGATTGTATTAAAATAATGTTTCTGGACACAGAAACTAAAGTAGGGGAAAGATATTTAATGAAGGAGAGGAAAAGTGAAGATAAAGAAAGGCTTTGAGGTTTATAGCTTGTCTACTTTCCTGGCTCCTCTTTTCTCCACTAGATGGATCAACATCCCATTAATAAAAAGAAAAGTGATGATAAATGATAATAGACCAAAGAAAAAATTGACTACAAGGTATTTGCGTACATATTAAGAAACAAGTGAAAAATACATAAAATACAAAGTCTGGTAAAGCAGGGGCCCTACGGATATAATAAGTTAGGCAAATTTATACAAACCTAATCCCAAAGCAAGAGTTAGTTAGCTCTAGTTGATTTCCATCTAAACTACTACTTGACTTAAAACCATCCTCTGTTTTTTTTTCTGACTTTGACACAAACCCCAAAAACTAAAGACTTATTGGATCAATTTCCTTGAGATATATCCAGATTAGACTGTTATTATCCTCTCCTTCTGATGTAACTAAAGGGGAGGGAATTTGCGGCGGGATAACTAGTGTCATGATTCTCTTATGTGTCTAGGGAGATAAAAAGATTCTTGTTGTTTTGGTCTTATCTAGCAACTTGATTCGTTGCTTTCTTATGGAATGTCAAGACTATGGCAAAAAAAGAAAGTAAAAAGCTAAGAGTTAGTAACATGACTCTAGCTTTTTGTGTAGATCAATCAAAATATCATCTACAACTAGAAACCAATCAAACTTCCCGATTTATAACAAGAAAAAGAATAGTCAGAATTCTCCAGAAACCGCATAAACCACAGAATAACTTAAAAAGTGATCCAGAAGAAATAAACAAGAGTATCCTTGTAGTACCGTGACGAAATATCCTAATCCCAAGAAAATAAATGAACCCTAGATAAATTCTCAATTCCCAGTAACAAAAATATTCTTCAAACGAACGCAACACGAAATAAACGAACGCAACACACACAAAAAAAGCTTAAACAAAAGTTAGAGTATACTCCAAGCAAAACAAAAAGCATTCGGATAAGAGGCACTAAAGTTAATGTATCCACCTAATCTGATAATCGAAATTGGCTAAAGATCTAGAGATTAATCCCTCGGTTGCAAATTATCCAATGAGACCGACCAAAAGTCACTAGAGACCTTTTAATTTTAATACGACGACTCAAAATTTTCTCACCGGAAAAGATAATAGTCGGAACAATTAATCTACTGGAATCAATCATGTTTTCACTATCATCAATCTTCCACGTCATCTAACATTTCTCATTTGATTAATTCTAATCACTAAATCAGATCAGCTTTAACTAAAAACAGAACAAAGAGGAAGAAGAAAAAACGTACTTCTCGTCTTTGACCGCGAGGTTAAGTAGAGCAAGCAGAGCCGCCTCGTGGTGCGATTCAGGAGATTCGAATCTCAGCATCGAAACGAGCGGCTCAACGGCCTGCGAAAAGTGTCGGCGGCATCTATGCGACGTCTTCGTCAGCCGACGGATCTCTTTAGCCGCGAACAGCCTTGATTCAGGATCCTCCGATCGGATTAAGCTGAGCACTCTCTGGATTGAGGCAGAAGACGATGAATAAACGGAAACGGACGTGCGGAGTAATTCGTGATCTACGTCTCCGCCACGTGGCGAGTCGCAATCGTGGCTCGTAGCGGTTGATGATACGGAGGAAGAGGAAGAAGAGGAGAGGTTGTTTGTTGTTTCTCCGGCGAGTTCCATTTTAGAGAGAGAGAGAGAGAGAGAGGCGGAAAGATCTGTTTGTGTGTGTGAGAGAGAGAGAGAGACATATGAGTAATAAGTGCGTTGGCCAACGGTTACATAGTACGTGTATTTATATATACTATTACACCAAAACGCAAAAATAAATATGTTTTTTTGTTATAGTCAAATATTTTATTTTCGTAATAAAAGAGACATTAAAGTCCAATTTTATAAAGAAAGACTTTTTAAGGGATGGCTACTATTTTCCTAAGTTTTTAAATTTGTGTGTTTCTTTTAATTTTAGTTTTGATTTGTACAGAAGAAAAGATATTTTGGGAACAATGATGTGTATGGGCCAAGGCTAACTGTGGGATTTTATTCTATATGTGATTTGAATAAAGTATATATGTTTTGGTCCTCAATGTTAAGATCAGTTGGCAACCATTCTTTGTTAGATTGTCTTTATCTTGTGCATAGACATTTTTGGGCTAAAGGTTGAAAAAGTACATAAAGTTGGGGAGGGGGAGCCTCTTTTATATTTTGATTTTATAACATTTCTTTTTAAAAAAGAAGAAAATCTAAGGATATTTAAAATTTACATCAACCACTTAACACAATTGATGATTATATATTTCTGTTTCCAATAATATTTATTCATATTTTAACATTAAAAAGACAACTTAAAAATTGATTATATATCAACTGAATACATCATTTTCTATGATTAACTATTTTCAAATCAATAATAACTCAATACATTCAACTACCTTTCCAAAGATTACAATTTATCAATCCTTAAATTCTTTGTTTTTTTTTGACAAAGACCTTAAATATATCTGTTTGAAACATTAAAGGAACAGTTATATTTTGAAAAAGAGAAAGTATTATTAATATATATCACTGAGTTAACTATATTTTATACTCTTATAACAAAAATACATACTTAATCAAATGATATGTCATTACAAAAACGAATTAAACAAGGTTATATCTCAAATCATTTTCATGTGAATTATAGATTTTGAAACTCCGCTTAAAAAATCTTGGCAACATCTTTCATGAGACCACGATTAGCACTTGCGAAATCAGAAAACTCTTGGTACGATATGTAACCATCACCATCTGTATCAATCTCAGCCATCATACGCTTAATGTCATCGTGTGTGGCCGAGCCAAGATTCTTGAGAGCATCTCCAAGCTCGGCGGCAGAGATCTTTCCATCTCCGTTTGCATCAAACTTCTTGAAGATACGGTCGTGCTCTGCTTTCTCGGTTGCGTCAGCCATTGTGTTTTTAGTTTTCTTGTTTTGGTAGGAGGATTCAGATGCGAGCGTAAGAGTTATATAAAAGAGATTTGCATGTGAAGAAGCTGAGGCTATGCTTTAAACTAGGCGAGTCTAAGGAGGAAACTGAAGTTACTAAAATTAGAATGTGACTCGGTCTTCTTCCGTTAACGGTCAGTACAAAACAGTTTTATTTTGTTAAAAAAATAACAATGTAGACAAAGAAGCACATTGATCAAATCTTTGTCATTTTAAGCTTTATTTCGTAATGTTAGATTCATTGCAAACTATTTCCATCAAAAATGAGAAGATAAATACGGAAAATTGACAAAAATCAATGGCTGATCCAACAGTTTTTTTGGCTTTATCTCCATCTTCAAAGATGAAGTCATAGCAGCAAAAGTAAGTCTCTTGAGAGGATAAAGAGATTACCTTCAAGGAGCTCTGTCAAAAGGCTTAGTGTCATTGTAACAAGTATCCCACACTGCTTCCATGGCGTCTTTCGCTGCTACTTCAGAGCAATACGGGTTGCCACGAAGCGACTTCAGCACTCTTCTTTTTATACATTCCTTTCGAAAAACCAAGAATCAGATCAATATTAACAAGAACCATCCATGATCCCACAAGCCTTTATATGAACTAACAAACTAATGGAATTCTTCTTCTTATAGTGTGACTTACTTGTTCATGTCCTCTTAGTTTAATGAAACCCCTCAAAAGTTCTCTCTTGAAATGACAATCTCCACTTAAATGACCTGCTCGTATCTGTACACACACAAAAAACTAAGAACTGAACTCAACATCGTAAAGCTTTAGGTAACAGTGTAATCATCACCTCGCTGCAAGCATGGTGAGCACAGTTAGTCCAATCCAAATTCTTGGCACGACACTCATCATAAGCATGGATTAACTCATGTATAACAACTTGGTTCACTTCATCTTGAATAGTCAGATAGTTACTACACACAGTAATCTTCCAAACAAAAGAAACTGAGCATCAAAAACATTACAAAAAAAAAACATTGTAATATATATATATATATATACATTAAAGAAAGTGTTTACCCCTCTTCCTTTAGTGTAACCACCAGCTACAGGACCAGTACACACAACAGCCTTAACGAAATTATCACCAACTCTACACCCTGACTTCTCCATCTGCTCCATCAGAAACTTCACTATCGGATCTAAATCAAATCAACAAAAAAAAAAAAAAAACTAGTTTCAATACAAACACAGAGTTGATTCTAAACTTCACTATCGGATCTAAATCTGTTAATGTATGAAACTAAGTCCCACATCGGTAGTTGGAAAAATAATTGAGTAATATATAAAGGGTTAGGGCCAATCCACTTATCACCAATTGGTTTTAAGTTATAAGCCTATAATAAATCCAAAGTTAACATGGTATCAGAACCACCCGATGTTGGGACACTCCGTGGATGTTGTTCCCACAGTTGTCCACGCATGAGCGTGAGTATTAATGTATGAAACTAAGTCCCACATCGGTAGTTGGAGAAATAATTGAATAATATATAAAGTGTTAACAAAATCAAATCAACAAACGTAAAAACTAGTTTCAATACGATTCATCAAAGGAACAAGGATGATTCTAAAACCCTAAACCCTGGATCTAAAGAATTAAAGAAGCTGAAACTAAAACGAGAGGGTTAGTCTCTGTATTATATATACTTCGGAAGCTTCGTTGAATCATGTCTTGACATTCTTCGATAGATCTGCCGCGATTCCCTCCGAGGTTCAAATCGGAACCTGAATTAGGAGAGGCTGCATCCTCCATTGTGATTGGTTATTAATCGGCGGCGGTAGAGTTCTCGAAGCCGGAGATTTCGTGGCGGTTTAAGATCGATGGTTAGAGTCAGACGGAGAAGAAGGGTATATGTGTAAATTAGATTAGCATCAGTGACTCACTGCACAATTAAATGGTTACTGTCGACAGTTTTTTATCTGATCTTGTTAAAAAAAATGAAGGTGATAACGGGCTATAAGTATTTTTAAAAGGGCCGTGCTGTACTAAACCCAACGCAATGAACAACTGATATTATTTTTAGCTGAATATTGTATATGTTTTCAATGCATGCAGATACTGTATACACAAATAATTATGAGTTTAACATCAAAAATAATAATTAGCATATATGTGCATTCTATATATGTAGAAAATCTTGGAAAAGATTTCTCATCACATGTTTCCTTATGTTTTCATATCCAAATCACAGAATAAATGCAAAAAAAAAAAAAATCTAGAAGTTTTGGAAGGAATTATTTAATTTTCATAAATTTTATTTAAATTTTATCTTTCTCCTATAACTATTTATTAATGTTCCGATTTTTTTCTAAGATTTGATATTTTTATATGCTTAACATGTGAATGTCCCATCCAATATTGGATATCAACTTCCTTAAAAAGGTAAACTATTTTCTTATTTTCGTATGTGTATATTAAAATAAATTATATGTTAATTATGTCATCCAATGCTCAATAAATTAACAATGCATCTGAACATATCTAATTCACAAGATAACATCAAGTTGTAAATCCTTTTATATTCAGATAATTTATTTAATACATTTTTGTTTTATTAATAATTAATGGGACTATCAACTTATTAGATCTTATATGTAAGGCTTTTAAAACCATATATACAAGAACATAAGGTATCACATTTCTCACAAGTCTCAACAATATCAAAACAAAAGCATATCTACAATAACAAAATGTCTTTAGAAAAGATCTTCAAGCATTTTGACAAGAACAATGATGGTATGTTTTCATTGGATGAATTTTCTGATGCTGTTCTTAATTTCTTTCCCAATTTTTCTCAAGAGAGTATCGAAAAGAGATTTAAATATATTGATGTTAATGGTAATGGCCAAATCAATGCCAATGAGTTTGTTTCGTGGTTTGATGAGGTATTGAAAAGATCATTTGCTGCATGTGACGTTGATGGTGATGGAAAGATAACAGCCAAAGAATTGCATTTTGTGATGACTACTATAGGGAAAACATATACTGAGGAAATCTATGCCAAGCAGATCCAAACTGCTGATACAGATAGTGATGGTTGTTTGAATTATGAGGAGTTTAAAGCTATGTTGTTTAATGACTTCTTTTAGTTAAACTCATATCTATTATCTGTGTTATCTCTATAATATTATTTGAGAAGTCACTTTCTTAGGTGTCGCGTTCACGTTAACTCTCACGTTGGTTGATTACTATGATACCCCTAATGATATAAAAATACAATTAAATATTATTTCCTTTTTAAAAATTTTCAAATAACAATATAAAATAAAAAGGAAACATTTATAAAATTTACAAAACTATTTAAAAACGAAATATAAGTATATATAATATGGTTTAATAAAAAAAGGAAAGTTCACAAAATAGTAATATTTAATTTAAATCTATTTTAAATAACATAAAATATACCTTTGAAGTAATAAAATACTTTATATCTATATCTTTTAGATAGAAAACAATATCTGTATATAATGTAAATTTATATAAAGATTTCACACAAAAAACATTGCTATTAGAAAAAGAAATATTTAAAAAAAAAATTAAACAGTAAAATATATATATCTTCAAAATAATTTTTTTCTATATATCTGTCTATTTTATTAGATGATTACATAAGATAATCAACTAAAATAAACTGATATATGTTTAATTGACATTTTTTATAATTAGTATTATTAAAATTATTTTTTTAGTATATTTATTTTACTATAATATCTTACAATTACAGTAAAAATATAAATTCTATTTTACTTATATAGTATAATTTCTCAAAAACAATCACTTTTTACAGACTATTTTAAGAGATACTAAAAATAAAACTAAAATTAAATTTAATAATAAACATCTTTTGATCAAGTAACTACAATTATTTTAAAATAGCATAACACCATATAATCTAACGAGGTTGATATATTATATTTTAATCGTTAAAATTATATGTTTTAAGAATAAGGATTATGATTTACTTAAGTATTTTGATTATGGTTATATTAAGTTTCACAAACATAAAAACAGAAAATACTTACAATTATTTTAAAATACCATAACACTATATAATTTAATGAGGTAGATATATTATAATTTAATAGTTAAAATTATCTGTTTTCTTAATAAATCTTTTGATTTTGATTTTTCTGTTTTTATGTTTGTGAAACTTAATATAACCATGATCAAAATACTTAACCAAATCAGAATCCTTATTCATAAATTATTTAAAAATAAATTTCAGTTTACCATCCTATCAATCTAAAGCATAAATTTATTTAAAATCTATAAAATATTTTAATTATTGTAAATATTGATATGTGTTCAAAAACTTCTAAAAATTCATTAGTTACTTCTGTATGTAATTTAGAATCAGACACTTTAGTTTTTATTTGTTTTCCTTCCAACCACAAAAAAATCTTAAGTTATATATAATCTTCCTAAATATACTTCTATTTCTAAAATAACAACCAGCATAAATGAAAATAAGACAATTAATCAAAATTTTAATATATTTAAAATATAAAAGATTATAGTTGAATTCAGAGAAATAGATAAAATATATATCTAAATGATAACTAAATCGACTGTAAAAACAATAAAATAGACTAAATATAACATATATAAAATTATATATATAATTAAAGTAATAGAATATTATAATATAAATTAGACATACAAACTATAAATTAATTTAAAAATTAAAGTAAATATCAATTAATTATTATTGTATATTTATTTTATAAATATACATGCCCGTGCATGAGCACGGGAAAATCACCTAGTCTATTATTATTATGTAATAAGGTGGGCTTCCAAATGTTATATTATAATGAATATTTTGAGTTATAATGTCAATAGAAATACAACACAGTATGATCATGCAAATATGATATGATCACCTAAAAAGGCTTCTTATTTCAAGGCTTTCAATATGTTTCTACGCCAAAGAGCAGTCTCTGGGTCGAACCTCAGCTCCCAAGTTGGCCAATAATGAAGATCTTGTTTTAGAGTCAACACTCGTGGTTTGCCGTTAAGATGAACAGTCCTTATACGCACGAACTGCCCGTGTTCTAGCTCCTGTTGCAACCAAATCCCCAAAGAAACGAAGTTTAAACTTCAAATGAAATAATCACACGTTTCTTCAAGGCCAAAGTAAAATTTGCAAATGTGATGAGTTCTGTAAGGGATGAGTCAAAACCTTGGTGGCATCTGCAAATGCGTTTAGATCAGGTGTCTTCTTCCCGTTAACTTCCACAATCCATTGAAGTGCATAGAGGCCATATCGGTTTGCGGGACTCCCGTGACACCATCTGAGAACAATTTCTAGTCGGTTAAGAAGAACAAGGTTCTTTGTTGAACCAAATGTCAGAACTAACTAGTACCTTGTCACATAGACACCGTGACCTTCTTCAGGAAGAAACCCAAGAGAGCGAACCGCAGGGTGAGGATCTTGAACAACGCAGCCGCACCAGTTTATCACTCTTGTAGTTCCATTTCCATCTCGTTTATCAGTTCCAACTACGAGCTCCATTTCTCGACCCTGACAAACAACCAAGAGTCTTGAGCATCAACTAGTGAACCTTTTCTTCACTTAAATTACTATTGTCTATAAACTCAAGACATGATATGAACTATTGTCACAGGTAGTGTGATAAATCGAAACAAAGACTAGGATGATAATGGAGATAAAAGATGTATAGAAAGAAGTCTCGCAAGCCAGGAGTCACCTGACGAAGGATTGTTAGATTGAGATTCTCATCGCTGTGGCTACCCTTATCCAATGTTAGGCACGCGGCTTCAATGTCATTGAAGCATGTAACTGGCATCTTATCGATTGCCAGAACCATGTCGCCTTGTTCTAGAAGATTTTCAGCTTTTGATCCTGCCAGGCAACCTTTAACACGCAGAACTTGTCGTCTAACAGGATCCTTCTTGACTAGGATCTGTAAGAACAATGAATATAGTTATATGGATTTGAGAATACTTAGTTTTAGTAGACTACTCTGTCAAAGGTACTGTGTACTTTTACTGGCTATACATAAAGAGTTTCACATAAGGTATAAACAAGAAAAGGCTTACTTGGATCCATTCATCACTCAGACCAAAACTCCGTGCTTTTGAGAGCAAAGTTGGATATAACTCAACTTCCAAAATTCGGACAAGTGGCATTGGCGTTTTGATACCATTTATGAGAAGAGTTGGTCCATTTCCACCGCTTATGATTTTTTCAAGAACTTGGCTGATCGCATATACAGGGATACCTCTGACAAACTGATGGTCTTCTGACGAAGTGGAACTATACTTAATCTGTGATCAATTCACATGAAAGCATCATGTTAGAAAATAGGAAAAAAAAACACAATTTGTGTAAATTGCAAAGTGGGAAGATGAACCTGAGTCGAAAAGCTTCCCCAAATGGCCCGAATTCTCCCCTGCTCATCGGTCAGTGCTCCTGAAAATGAGCTACCAAAATCTGCAAAGAAAGAAAAGAACGAGGTATTTGAACAAGTCTAAAGTAACTATATTTAATACCAAAGGGTCTGTATTTTCTTACCTGTATCAAGCTCGATTACTTCCATGTTGGTTGCTCTATAGCGGGGAGAATCAGCAGACCCAATGTTCAACGCTGCACATGGATTGGTTACAATAGATTTTCTTGACGTCGCTTGAAGGTTCCTACTCAATCCAACGAGATAAACTGAATCTCCACGTTGCAGTGCAGGTTCTGTTTAAAAATGACATTGCAACATGAACTCGTTCCATTAATTTGACTAGAAAAAGGAAAGGTTAAACGACATGCAATTGAAAGCCATACAAAACATATACATAAATCTAACAAGCCACCTACTCACAAAAGCACAATCATTTGTTAGATAGTGGTATCCAAACAGAGCAACGGTGGAACTTTCAAATGGTTTAACATAACAGAGCAATAGCCCAATCCTAGCTCCATCATCCAACCAGCATATAATTGAAACCCAAAGGTGCTTTTCCACATAATTTTATTGACATACCAGGTAGTAGCTCAGCTGCACGAATGACTGAAGAACCGACAGGACCCAATGCTGACGGATTATAGGCAATTAGAGCATAGTTGTGAACAGGATGAAGAAATACCACCTGCATTTCAGTTAAGAAAGATCAATACTAAGCTTCCTTCCATGAACTATAAGATTCTCAGGGTAATATAACCTCTCCCGGAATCTCGACTGGAAATGCAGCAAAGGACAACATAACATCAGATGCAGAAATGGCGACGGTGTTTTTGTCCACCACAGCAAGCCCCATGCTCGAAGAATGATAAATAATGATGCCAGTCCCAAAGAAATGTTGTGAATGTACACCATCAAGACAGCATGATGGTGGCACATGAACCTGTATAAGAGAATATAGTTTCAGAAGAATCAAGTTGCCTTTAATCACAAATACCAGAAACTTCTTTAGCCAAGACAGTAATTTCAATCAGCAGGTCGTACTTCAATGGTTTTCTTATAAGTATCCATGGATTTTCATTTTTCAGACTTGTAGAAATCGTTACCAAATTTGAGAAAATTCTTAATATTTACCTCAAACATGACAAGAGCAGGCTCAATAGCACGTTCCGCCAATGAAGCATTAGCAGAAAATGCTGTTGCACCTTCGAAGTCCCTTAAGACCGTATTATCTGTTGCCATTGCATCATCAGATTTTAATTCACTCCCATATAAGGAAGCGTTTGAAACAGTTCCATCTGAAGAATCATCTTCCACTCTTTGTTTCTTTGCTTCTGAGCCAAAATCATTGTGAGAACCATCCCCACTAGAGGCTCCCATAGTAGCCGCAGGATCAGTAACCCCACGAACTTCAGGCATGGGGTCTGTATCGTGATGGCAGAGGGGAATATTTTGGCTTATAGGCAAATCATTAATATCAATAGATGGTGAAACAGCAGCAGGTTCGATTGCAGGTTTCACATCCCATAAACCAGAACTGTCATTACGGGTATACAACTGTGGAGGAGCGTACCATTCATGACGGTCAATTGTAACTAATACAGACTGCAGGAAATGGAACCCGAAAATAAGTACTTTCTCATTTGAGTAAATATTATAAAGTTCAATACGAAAGAAATTAACCATGCTAATGACAAGAGCGCTGTTAAGACAAAACGATCCATTGCGGAATCATAACTTTAGAGATATATATTTTCTATAGACAGTGATCATAGTGGTCTACCAGTATCACAATAGCCAAAAAAAATTAGAGAAGAGAGGTAATATTGTCACAAATCAACAGATTGCATGCAAGAATTCAGATCCCGAACAAGAGTAGACTAACAAATTATCATACATAAATGCTAGTATCAATGTTTAACAAGCATAAAATTATAGTAAGTTAGGACGTCTAACAAGAATAATTTTAAACAACGTATATCACCTTCTTGCGATGACGGTCGGTGTGAGACATATATTCCAAGGGAACACGAGCACCCCTAGAGAGCTTTGAAAGAACGGATACTAAATCCGCTAGACATGAAATATCCTCGTTAGCAACCTTCTTTATGATAGCATGTCGTGGGACCCCAGCTCTAAACAGCATGTATCTGCATATAAAATAACTCATCCAAGTAAATCAAGATATACAGAGACTCGAAGTATCCAGTATTTATAATTTCTAAGAATGGAAGCTTTTGCGTTCACAATAGCTCACCTTTTAAAATTTTGACACATCAGTCACAAAAATTATACAACAGAGAGACTAGAAGCTGAAACGTGAACTATCTTAAGATCTCTGATGAAGAGATTAAAGTGTCAATTTCAAGATTAAATGGGGTCTAAGAAGAAGTTACAGCTGACGACCACTTGTACCGAGTATGCAGATAAATAAAATTTAGAATTAAAATAACATATAAGGAAAGATTCTTTTCTGTTGGACTCACTCTATTAGCTAATTGCACATGGATCAAGAATGTTTGAAACTTTTAATGAAGGAACTTGAGCGGCTTACCCAGGGTCCGCAACGTACGCCAAGCCACAAGGAAAACGAAAATTACGAGCCTGTTAGACAAAAAAAAACTTTTAAGATCAGCTTATACCCATGAGAGAAACAGTAAGTATAACAAACGTTACAAATAAAATAAGTAGCATATTGGAACCATCTCCAACTGATAGTACATTAATAAGTTCCACGCTGTATTCATAAAGAGCATCCCCTCTGAAGATATATATTATGAAACAACTAACGATTCAGCTTAACATCTTACTTTAGAAAGTGAAAGTGCTTTAAATCATCAATTTGGTAGTTCAGTATGCAAATTCATAACAGATAGACCGTAACCCTAAAGACTAATCCATAAAGACAACAATTCACCTTAGAAGACAAGAGTATCAAGCATCAGGTACTGAGAAGCAAAAAAATCAGATATATCTTTTTGTCATGGTTACCTGCTGATAAGACAACGGATGAATTACAGCACCGCTTACTTCCAGGAAATGATCTGGAGTGATCGAGTGTAGATCCTGAACCTGTTTCAGGAATTACATTAACACAAGGATTTAGATCTTTAAGAAAGACAGTAAGTATCAATCACATTTAAGTAGATTATGAAATCCTACATCTATTTATCCAGAACTTTTCTCAGGGAAAATGAAAAGATCAGCAAGACGAATATAACGTTCAACAGCAAAGAGAATAGACGGCTACATGTGCATCCGGTAAAAGAAAAATCATAGAAGACTGCCGCGCGAAGTTAGAAATAGAAGAATGGAACTCACCGACACATTTACAGTTAGTGGCTGTCCACCCCTTTCGATTTGCAATTCAACTATCTGGCCAACACCGTCATCAATCAGATTCTCCAAGTTTAGAAATTGCGTAAGCACCTGTGATAATAATGAAACGCATCGAGAGATATTTAGCAAACGAGGAACAAAAAGAACTAGACACTGAAAGTGCACTGATTAATAGGTTATATGGTCAGGACTCAGAAAATAACTATATCTTTAAAAAGTGTGTTTCATACTAATGTGGCAACAAAAATATCGCAAACCAAGAAAAACTCCAGTAAAATGATGTAATCGAGATGACTTACTGTGCCATTCACACGAACAAGAACATCTCCAGACTCTAAATGTTTATCAGCAGGGCCACTTGGCACCTACCACAAGTCAAGACATATCATATAAGATGAAGATTTCAAGTTTAGGCACCGCTCAAAAAGTATCCATTTTCTTCAAAGATAGTTATTGTACTGTATGTTAATAATGAACCAAAGCACTCACAACAGAGTCGACAACAAGCATTCCGGTTTCCCCAGGTGGAGATGCATGCCGAACCACCTACATGACCAAGATATAGCAAGTTTAGGTGTCACTGTGTATCACAAGGTCGTCTGAGCCCTCCACGATGGTAAGAAGAAAAATCATGTACCTGTTCAGTTTCGGCCCGGAGACCAAGTCGCCTTATCTCGTCGAAGCCTTTGTGAACGAATGTCATCTAGATACAAAAGCAAACAGATGAAACCTTACATTAGCAACCCCAGAGCTCACATCGGACTATAGAGATTGAGCTTCCTCTGAATCTCTGCAAATTTGGCAGTCGTGGGAAAATGAATGCAAATTTAACAGGAGAAGCCTTCCTAATAAAACCACTAACTCAATCAGATCCCAGATCAAAATTCCATTCATATACCTAGTACAACAGAAATCCTTAAAGGAGTTAAAGTAACACAGTATTTGAGCATAACATTGATTGAAATCCATTATACACAAATTATGATGATCAGAACCAAACTAAACAGTAGTCTAAATGCTCTCCAGGCACATCAGCCAGCTCTTTGGAATCACATATACATTCAATTAGTATAGATATTTTTTTCGGACAAGATGAACTCAAAATCTGACAGGTGGAAAACAAACCTGAAGCGTACCACGAGGAATATGAACTGCTTTTGGCTTAGCTGTGCACAAGTCGATACTTTTCTGGAGGAAACTCAACGCCCTGACAACCTTCCCAAAAAAAAACCATACTTGAGTAAAAATTATGAAATGATATGAAGCAACACTAAACATGAGATCAGGAATCATGTCCAACTCTCTCATTGTCTTCCTACTGGATACTCAGTGCCCCATACATGAAAAGAAGAGATCTCAAATATATGTGCAGTTTATTTATAACATTGTAATGACTTCCAGTTCATAATATGAGCCATTTCCAGAAGAACAAGCACACTGAACAACTTTTAGATGGAGGTTTTAGTCTTACCTGAACCATGAATATGAGTATGAAAAAGAGATTGCTTACTCGTTGAAGTGGTAGGAAGAAGGCTGATGCACTTGAGGTTTTGCTGCCAGCATTCAAGGCTACCGCCCTGCCTTGCCAATCAATGACTGGAGAACCACTTGATCCACCTTTAGTACCTGACGCTGCCTATAAACAGAGAAGCGAACGTATTAGCAAACACTACCATTAGCAGATGTGATAGGGTTAGGCTCAAATAACAGTAGCATAAAGTAGTTGAGCATTGCATCATAGGCTACAAAGAGCAAGTTTAAACCCTATTAGGTGTGTATAAATGAAAATATAAGTGCATGTGTAGTGGAGATGGGAAATAATCATAAGCACGACACGATAAGAAAAGATGAAACAAGGTTCGGTTCGACACAAGGAAGTTTACATGCAATGATGTTCCCATAAGTTGGTGACTAAATAAAAGTAATAAATACTTAAGAGTAAAGATGAATAATCACTTACTTGCATGTAAAACGTGTTGAAGTCGTTATAACCATCTCTGCACCAGAAACCAAATAATTTTTAGAGAACAGGTAGCCTTAACATTTATATTAAGAAATAAGCAGAACTATAAAAGCATGACGGTGAAACAGAACACTACTTTTTATAATGTGGAGCATCCCTATCCAACCGAGCAATAGTACCAGCCAGTATAGAAACCTGCAAATCCACATTCCATCAACCAAAAGCATTACTTCTCCTACGTCTAAACATTAAACAAAAATACTATACATTTTTCTTAATGCAAGCGTCCATGATTATTAGAGAACTATTTATGTTACCTTTTCTCCACTATCATTTCCAACAACCCTAATTTCAAGTCCAACAGAAGCCGCCTCGGGAGCAAGAGGAATTTCTTCATAACTCAGAAACTGTACCGCACTGGGATCATAAGAAAAGAATCCAAAGTCATGTACCTGAAAAGAAGATTAATTATATGAATCCGTAACAGAAAAAAATGAACAAGTGAAAAGCCAGTTTACTCATACTTCAAAAAGGGAAAAAACTGAAATCCAAAATTAGGGATTAGAATGAGAAAGAGACTTACCGGATCCCTATATACAGGATAGATCGGAATCTCTTCACGGTTTACAAACGTCGCCTCAGCAACTACAGGGCCTGAATAAGAAGAAGAATATAAAGTTGAAATCTCTGAATATTAATTAGATTCTCACTATACTTTCAACACAGAAGCATTGACCTAGAATCTAGAATCAGAACATTGTCTCCCTAAGCGACGATCTAATCAATAACAGCTATGCAATCGCAAAATCCTAAAGCCAATACAAAACTTCGAAGAACAATCATCGCAGCTAAAGTTCGATTCGTATGAGAAATCTGATATCTAACTAACTAACTAACTAACTAACTAACTAACTAACTCTAAACTCATCCTCTTGAAGATATTTCGATTTAAAAAAGAAAAAAATCACATAATTAGATAAATCTCTTTATGGAGTAAGAGCGGAACAGGTTTAACCACGTGGCGATTGGTGAGGACGATCTAATCAAATAGCTATGGAATCTCAAAACTTCGAAGAACAATCAATGCCACTAAAGTTCGATTCGTATGAGAAATCTGATATCTAACTAACTAACTGCTCCCTAAACTCATCCTCTTGGAGATATTTCGAATTTAAAAAAGAAAAATCACATAATTAGATTTAAGAGCGGACCAGGTTTAACCACGTGGCGATTGGTGAGGATGATCCCGCGTCGCTTATCAACGATAAACCCAGTGGCGTAGCTAGCACCTGCCGATTCGGTGTCGAAAGCGCGACAGGCGGTTGTGCGGAGTACGACGACGGCGGGAACAACTTTGTCGAGAGCGCGACGCCAGTCTTCGGCGGTGGCGACGGTTTCGTTTAAAGGAGGAGGATCGATCTCTAAGCACAAGTCCGATTTGATTCCAGTTTCCGTCGCCATTGATGCCTCTGATCCCAACCTCTCCAACGAATCTCCCATTTGGGCGGGGCTCCGCGGGATTGGGTTTTAGGGTTTTGGATCGGTCTATTGCTCTCTAGAGTATGTCAAAGAGTTGGGAGGAAATGAACATTTGATGATGATAATCTTTTCTTTCGTTATAGTTTTTTTTAATTTTCTTACATAAAAATTTAAATTATATATTTATGGTTTTCATTTCTTAACCAGTCTAAGGGTAAATGTTGTTAATTGTTACAGTTGGACTTTGTTTCTATAAGAAATTGATAAGATTAGGTACTTAAACATAATTTTTTTCTTTGTCTAACTTAAACATAGTTTGTATGACTTGTTAATTTGGTAGTGGATTTGCGGAAGTGTTAAAATCTAAAGTAGATAAATACGATTACAAGAAAACAAACATGTGTATATAATTACAAAGAAACTAGTGAATGCCGACGGATCAATTTTTAAATTACTTTTATTTTATAAAATATATTTTGATTAAGATTTAAACATATATATGATTATACAAAAAAACATAAATATAATTTTAAAAAAATACAAATATTAAAAATAAATTTCTAAAAAAAAAAAAAAAACAAAACATATAATCGCCTTTTCAAGGGCGGGTCAAGATTTATAAGTTATAACATATTTGCCCCCTAGTTTATAAAATCTCCAAAACTTTACCTCTCCTGTCTTCTTCGCCGTTGCTCAAACCGAGAAAATGCTGACTCTACTCTTCTCCTCTCTCGGACTCCTCCTTCTTCTTGGCCTTCTCCTCAAATTCGCATTCGCCGATGGTAATAACTCTTGAGTAGTTTAATACAATGTCAACTCCTTCTCATTTGAGTTTGCGATGGTATATTCTGTTAGAACTGATCGTCCCCTGTCTGCTGCAGGAGATTTAACCCTGATTTCGAAGAAGCATGTGAAACGTGAAGCCATAGAAGGCAAGGTACTGGATTGGATAGATGGAATCGATGCCAAGCTTTGGTTTAAAGCAATTTTTTTTTTCAGATATGTGATTAATTTTTTTTTTTGTTGCTTAGGTGGTATGGATCACAGGGGCTAGCCGTGGAATTGGTAAGTTGTGTTTTTATGATTATGTCCGAAAAAAAAGTCTCCAACTTTGATTGTGTTCTGCTTACTACAGCTCATGTGTTATGTCTTCTTTTCTTTTATGATTGAATTTTTTAGGAGAAATTCTTGCTAAACAGTTTGCAAGTTTAGGTGCCAAGCTTATTCTCTCTGCTAGGAATGAAGCTGAGTTGTTTCGTGTTAAGAGTGAGCTTAAAGGTACTGACTTTATGCAAAAGTCTCCACTTTTGAACTATGATTTTTCTGTTTACTGTGATTGACTAAAGCTGTGTATTCCTCTCTAGGTAAATATGCACCAGAAGATGTCAAGGTTTTGCCTTTAGATTTAGCTAGCGGCGAAGAGGGACTCAAACATGTTGTAGAGGAAGCAGTGTCTCTTTTCCCTGGAGCTGGTGTTGATTTTTTGATTCACAACGCTGCCTATGAGCGTCCGGTTTGTAACTTCTTTGCTTAAGTTTTGTTACCTACTCAGTGGAGAGATTTCTAGTTCAAGCTTTGTTGTTTAAGGGCGTGTCATCAGTGATGATGACTCATCACCATTCTCTTTTTCTTGCAGAAATCCAATGCAGTGGATGCCAGTGAGGAAAATCTTAAGGTATTAAATTGATTGGGTAAAATCTGTTGGCACTGTAGTTGCTTTGTGTTTGTTGACATATGGATCAATGATTTTGGGTGCAGACTACGTTTGAGGTTAATGTATTTGGGACAATATCTCTCACAAAGTTGGTAACTCCTCATATGCTCAAACAAGGAGGTGGTCATTTTGTTGTGGTACGTGGAGGCTAATGATTATTGCAGATAATTTTTGCTAATATCAGTGTCTAGTTCTCTAATTTTGTGAGGCTTCACATAATCCACATTTTGTTAACATCAATGTCTAGTGTGCTCTGGGACAATATCTCTACTTTTGCCCATTTGCTTCGGTTAAGTTTCATGATTAATGACAGAAAGCTAATCTATAATCAGATTAGCAGTGCCGCAGGGAAGGTACCATCACCTGGACAGGCAATATATGCTGCTTCAAAACATGCTCTGCAAGGCTACTTCCACAGCTTACGTTCTGAGGTATGGTTTGAAGTAAAAAAATTGCATGCTCGCAAATATTCTAACAGTTGATTCACGATCATCTGCGCATGGTTTCAGTTCTTTCAGAAGGGAATCAAGGTTACTGTTGTTTGTCCCGGTCCAATAGAAACCTCAAATGGTACAGGAACATCAACTTCGGAAGACAAGAAATCTCCTGAGGTTTGTTAACTGATTGATTTTGATTGTGATCTGTTCATTAAATTACCGTTGTTTTTAATCTTTGACTAGTCTTGTAGACACTCACATTGAATCCTCTTCTCTGTCTCTCTTTTAGTTTTTTTTTTTCTCAAGCATCTAAGTCTCTTCTTTTCGCTTGCCATGTAGAAGCGTGTGTCATCTGAACGATGTGCAGAACTGACCATAATCGCTGCATCTCATAACTTAAAAGAAGCTTGGATTTCATATCAGGTACCTTACCTCTTTGTTAACATCTCATATATTCCAATCAATTCAGACGTCTGATATAATATATGTTTATTTGTTGTCTTTATCAGCCAGTACTACTCGTTATGTATCTAGTACAGTACATGCCTTTCCTTGGCTTCTGGCTCATGGACAAGGTACTTCATGTATCTTTGATTCGAAAGTTTCATTATCATGTGACAGAAGCATTTGACTGAGAGAATTTCAAGATTTTGGGTAATGAGTTAGAGGCAATTATAACTCTTGTAGAAGCAATATTTTTTCTAACGAAATGGAATGGGTTGCAGGTTGGAGGGAAACGTGTGGAGGTTGCTGAAAAGAAAGGCAACACATACTCATGGAATTTGTTCTTCCAGAAGAAGACTAAAACAAACTGAAACTCATCTTCAAGGAAGTATCTGCTAATAAGCTCTGAAGTCGTCTCAGTAGTTCTGTGTTTGTTCTCGGAAGACAGTTTGTTGCCTTGTGAACTATCAGCATGATAAGTTTGGATTTCTAGGCATTGGTTGTAAGAGTTCTTCCGCAGTTTACTGTGACGGTTAGTGAAATGTAAGAATCGAGACTTCCAGAATCTTATCAGTGTTCACAACTTGTTATTGAGTGGTGAAAGAGTTCAACAATATGCATTGAGTTACATAACATTCCACATTTATTTGACAACATCAAAGTCAAAAGAAATTAAAAACCTTGTTCTTTAGAAACACTCATTTTACATGGAATTAATTAGATAATCTGCTCTCAAAGATCTTCAGATGCAGCTACGAGGTAACTCATGCTGTATAGTCATCCAACAGACCTTTGATCCCAGTGGCCTTGAGTTCCTACAAAAGAATCATTAGAAAAAAAACTTCATGTGACTGGCGAGGACAATGAAAACTAATGAAGGCTTTTAAAGTTTCAGTTCCTGTCATAAACTCACAGAGAGTAATCCCGCCAAAGCTGTATATGGCTGATTAACTGGTTTTACAACACGAATTGCAACAACACCGTTTATTCTTTCCTTCTCCTCAGTGTAAAAGTTACGGTAAACTTGAACACCTGCAGATAGAGACAACATGCCAGGTTAGAACCAAGTCCACATAGCAAAAGAGATGCTTTCTAAAGGTTCCATGTTGTGTGTAAAGTAACTTGGTAAATATCTATAAACCTTCTTCTATAGTCTCAACTCCAGGAAGAACTTTGGCAAGACTTTCCACTCTCAACATTTCTGAGAATGAAGTATAATAGCAAACGTCCTGCAATCGCCAAAAAAAATGTTGATAAGAAAATGAAAAACTGCTTAAACCTCACAATGAAGTATTCAAAGAGATACAATGATCAGTGACTACCTGAACTTCAAGTAGCAAACATTTATTGAACAAAATAAAATCTCCTGATCTAATCCTGAAAGGACACGCAAAGCTAACATAGTAAGTAGTATAAACTAAACCAACTATGTAGTCAATAAAAAAATCTAAAACAAGGCGGAAAAGCTGTGAAGCAAAAACAGATCATAATAAATGAAAATACTATTGTATTATTCATCAACAAGGTTTAAAGAAGCAGACCTCATGTAATCTCCTACTGCACACCTTCCTTCAGTAGTTTTCAGACCATCTGGTGAAATGAGAGTGACTTTAATGAATAAAAATGAGATCGACCAAACTAACTTGATCAAGTAAACAGAGACTGTTACCTTTCAGTTGTGTGAAATAAGGCTCCTGGACATGAAGCTCAAAGTTTACCTTTTTCAACATCTAACAAAAGAAATAGAATCTTTGTCAAAATTCCAAAACTTTTTCTGATCCAATAAGCAGCTAAGAACCAGTTTTTTTTTTTTTTTTTTTTTCAAAATACGTACATTTAGCAAATCATTGCTGTAATTTTCAAAGTTTGAACCATGCTCCTTGGAAGTAAGACATTCAGACAAAGCCCTTGCTAGAATCTTGTACCTCGCAGGTTTTTCTATAAAAAGAGCATTTTTTAAGTAGTTTCAGATAACTCTAAGCTCTTAGTCTCTAAAGATCTTTAGATAGACAACTTACCTGTTGAATCTTCCTCTTCCAGGAGATAGAGGCAGAGATCTCGAGGCAGGTCAAGATCGAGACTTGGCACTGTTTCATCCAAATGAGAGCGCAGAGTAAACCTTAAAAGTGGTTCAATGATATCTCCAATCTCCAGTGACTTTGTTCCCGGCGACTGTGGCTGTTCCATTCTCTCAGAGTTGTCTCCTGCCAAAGTCAACGCGCCAAATGATAGTAATAAACTAAACTCTTGAGAAGTTTCATTAAGAGCCCTGAGTTTCGTAAATAGCACAAGATGGCCCCAACAAAATTCAAAATAGTGGATAAGACCTTCCTCCTCTTCCGTCTAATGTGACGGATTTAAAAATAACTAGATCTTTACCCGCGCAACTGCGCGGGTGTTGTTTTCACTTTTATATACATATATTATTTATTTAATGACATTAGTGATATATATTTTTTTAACGTTGAACATATATTTAAATGTTTATATAAATGTATTGCTAATTTAATTTAAGATGCTCTTATGTATTGAGAGAATGAAAATGAGAATTAAATATGGTTGTTAAGATTTTATTATATAAATACAAAAGATAAGGTAACAACTTTTCTAAGGAAGGGTCTATTTTATAAAAAATCACACATGAATGAAAAGTCATGACTTCTCTTTTAATATAATAGATTAAGTGATACGTGTGAGAGCACGTGAACTCATGCACACACAGTTCTTGTTGTCATCAACCATTTTATTGTTAACAAGCAGGACCGTAATTAATGATATATTTATGATTTAATAATTTTTTTAAAGTTAATAACTATGTTTAATGTTTCCTTAAAACTATAAGTTCTAATTTAGCAATATATCTAAATTTGTTTTAAAAATATCATATTTATCTATATATTTCTCAAAAATTCTTAATTTTTCCTTATTTTATTTTATTTTATTTATTTTTACATTTGAGGCTATGTTCGACCGCTCCACTTACACATACTATTAGACGGCTCTATGAACAAGAGTTTATTTTTTTGTTATAAAAAACATATAAATATGAAATATTATTTAAACGATAACTATTTATATATATATATATATATATTTTAGTATCGTTTAAATTAAACTATATACCATATAAATATATATATATATATAGTAATCTCATCATTTCATTAAAAAGTTATTGTAACCTTAATATTCATATTTTGAAATTTACATTGATTAATAATTTTTTTGTTACATCAAATATACAAATGTTGATAAAATCCTATGAGTATGAACTAAAAAGGTTCAATTAGATATTCATATTAAATATACTATATATCTATATTAATGTCATTTAAATTTACTTATATTTCATATAAATAAATAAAATGATTGTTTTGATTTATGTGTTTACTCCAGTTTAACTAGGTATATAATATGTAATTGATTCACAATTATTCAATAAGTTTATTATTATTTAATAAAGAATATAAATGACCATAAAGTAAATAATAACATATAAAAGTAATTTGTAACCATAATGGTCATCCCGCATAATGTGCATGTATATGTTGATTTACTGCAGTGGGAATATTCTCTCAATCAATCAAAACTTATGTTTTCCGAGAAAATTTACACAAAATTAAAACAAATACAAAACAAATTGAGTTAACAGATACGTTATAGTAAGCATAAATATCATAGATTTAAACAAAAAGTCAGAAATCAACCAAAATCCTAATTTTTTTCGATCGCAAGTCAGCATTTTCAATATTTATTCTTTCTATATCTAATAAAAGAGTGGACCATAAAATAATTTTCTTATGTATGGTTTTAGGCCCAATATTTAATTAATTGGGTTGTTATAAAACTAATTTATCAATAGAATCTGATACGCAACATTCTTATAGTATAGGTCCACAATATGTAACACATTTTGAATTTATGACACGATATAATTGTTTTATAAGAAAATAAAATTAATATGTATTAAGCGTTAGTAATTAAAATTCACCCCACGCATGCACACGAATTATCAGCTAGTGTATTTGTTATATTAAGAAGTGTATCTGTGATAAACTTTGACTCATTTATATCCACAAGATACACTTCATAAATTGTATATCTTAGAAAGTATATCTCATGGAAAGACTCTCTATCTAAATATGCAAATGAATCAAAGTTCATCACATAAATTTTCATAGAAAGTGTATTTCATGGATAAACTATCTATTTAGATATGCAAATGAATCACAAACTTCATCACAGATACACTTCTTAATATAACAGATTCATTCCTGTTTAAGACTTATTTTAGTCCTAAACTTTTATATACTAGTTGCATATTCACCGCGCAAGCGCGGGGCCGGGATCATTATGTTTACGTGTATTTTTTTCGATTGTTGGTTTAGTGGATTCTTCTAATGACACCAATTAATAATGAAATGGAAAATTTCATGTTTTTATATCGTATGTCAAAACTTGATATAATTCTATATTTATAGTATTTATATTTGTATTAAACGATTTATCAATATGAAAATAACCT